AACAGCAGAAGATTCGGCAATTCATTGAAACAATCGTTTGTCAAATACTTGGACAGCATTGCTATGATATGGCTTTGATGGACCACTTCCTCCAGAGTGTTGGGCCGATACTTCTCGACCCACGGCTTCACCGCCAGCTTCGGGTCGCCTCTAAACACGTTCTCATCGATGGTGTGGTCGTCGGCAGACCTGTTGGCCGACTGTTTGAAGTTCTTGAGGAATGCGTCCATTGTTTTCACACAACAATCAATTCAAATGTCATTTCAATGATTGAAAAACAACTGCAAAACAAATGCCAAACAAAACATGCATTCAATGCAACCAATAATTGGCGGCAATAATGGACTCCACTTTCGCTCTATAGGTGTCACCACTCATGCCATTAGTGGTCAACACAAACGGCACTCGAGTTTTCGGACTCAATGTGTGGACGAGTTGTGAGAATATTACGTGTTTTGCGATCACTAGTGATGAGCACTAGTGTTGAGCGCATGAGTTGTGACCGAAATAAGTGGTGAATTGTGTTCACAATTGTGTCGACGACTGACCGCAGAGTGAGTGGGACTCGAGTGGACACGAGTTGTGATCGCATTCTCTGGTGTTGTTGTCGTCTATGAAGTGATGGACAAAACACTGCATTCACTCAACACTCAAACCGCAAACCATTCAATGTTTCAATCATTTAAACTTTGATTACATTTGTAAATCACATAAACATTGTGTGCATTGAATGCCATTTCCAGCCGATTATTGGCTACAAAAACGTGTTTATTGTTATAATTTGTTAATAATTCGTTGATTTTAATCAAAATCTAATCAAAATTGAGTTGAATTATGTCTAAAGACTTCAACGAAGCCTTGGATGACATCAATTTCGCTGAACAGAGGTTTGCATTCATTTCTCATACAAACTATTAATTTGTATTTTTCTCTTATTATTAAATTATATGAAATACAATACAATTGAGTGCAGAGATTATATCGACACTGAATTTAACGTTAATTTTATCTCCAAATATAAATCATTAATAAATAGACGAGATTTGTATGAAATACAGGTTTAGAGAGAAGTGATAAATGATTTTGACATTAAAGAAAAGCCATTGGTTTTCATTGGGATTATGTGTTTATAATTGTCATCTGTTTTAGACATTATGTTTGTTATGAAAGCAATGAGAGATGAATTGATTGAATGTATTGTCGGTGTGTTATAGACGTCACCGACAGATGGGTTTCACACGAGGCTATTCAGTGGGAGAAGAGGCCGGTTGGAGGGATGGCTACGTCTTCGGCATTAGGAAAGGGTCGCAGATATCGGCCGAAATCGGTTACTATCAGGGATTCACAAACGCCTGGATTGCGATCCTCGAGAAGGAGGACATTCATAAACAACGAAAACTGACGGCTTTGCGGACTCTCTTAGATATGACCCGAAATTTCCCCAAAACCAATCTCTTAGAGGACGACACGATCCAGAAGTTGGGTAGAGTTCGGGCCAAATTCAAACAATGCGCGGCTCTAATCACGAGCACCGGTGGCGCCGACTCCGGCAGCTTTGGTGGCAGCAGTTGGACATCGATGGACTCGGGTCAGGGCACCTACTCGGGCACCTATTCGGCCGCCGGCTCATCGGTGAGGGGCCCGTCGCCCAACCCCTCCACCAGCTCTAAAGGCGGCGAAATGTCTTTTTAAAACCACTTTTTAGTCTTATTTTTAGATAAATTAATGACAAAATCGCAAAACTCATGAACAAATCAATTATTTATTGCATCATTTAATTAGTCAATGAATTTATGGATATTTTAAAATTTGATTTATTATAAACTATTTTGTGATTTTATGCCACTCTATAAATGTGTTCATTTTCTGAGTGTTGCTCTCAATTGTCATTCCGTTTATAATTTTAATTCAATGATCAATGAATTTATTCGTGAACTCAATTCCAATACATTATTAAAACTTTTTCGAAAACATATAATTATATAAAACTATACATCATTTTCATTATTACATCGTATTATAAATGTATAAAATATTCATTAATATTTAAATTGATGTCAATTATTGTTAAGTTTTTAATTGAATAAATTTTATTTCGATTACATTTGTTTTATTCATTAAATTGGATTTTAGACTAAATTAATGGCAGTAATTAATTAATAGGAGAATCACTTGGATATTGACTTAAAACTTGCAGAATCAAGAATTTGCAGAATTTGATTAGTTTTTGAACCAATTCNTTTTTACGATAAAAAGAAAATTCTTGGATAAAGAAAGTATGGGTCAAAGCGGCTCTTCTAATAGGAGAACCCTTTTTGGCAATGATTTTGAGAAATTGAAAGAGGAGTCCGATTACGTAACGTTGGTTCGTGTGATTCCCAAACAAACCAATGATTTAAGTGGTAATCCAAACATTCAGATTAATAACAACAATGTAAGTGTTGAGCGACGCGTTCGTCGGCCCATCGCTACCCTCCCGAACCCGATTCGGCCGAAGACCACAATAGAGCCTAACGTTTACTGCGATTTAAAAGATTATTTGCGACCGAAATCTAATTTGATTGCAAACGAAGAGCTCAATGATTGCAATCCAGACGAGAATCTGTTGGGAATCTTCACTACAAACACGATCTCACGGCCAGTGAGTTATGCGAACCACTGTTCGGTGCGATGTGTTTGCAGTGACTGTCGCCTAACGCGATATCATTTGCTAAACTGGTTATTACCGAACTGTACGCGAACTAACGCAGAGCGACTCCTTATGGCCAGACCTGACGGCACTTTCTTAGTTCGGTAAGCATTCGCTCACTTTATTCATCAAAACGTTTTTCGATTGCATGAAAACATTCTGTGTTTAGGAAAAGCGAGAAATTTCCCAATCAATACACGCTGTCATTTGTATGCGGGACAGCCATCAGACACTGTCTAATACTGCGCTCAGTTTACGGTCAGTTTGTTATTTATAAGACACGTTTACTTTCAATTCAAGCCATTAACTATTTAAAAGGCTTTACTAATGATAACAAATTCCTGTTGAGCGAAGAGTCTTTCAAATATTCTGTATTTCATTTCAAACTACATTTTTAAGACAACAATTTCCACTCGTATTTTATCATAATTTAATTTGTTTTATTTATTCTTAAATTTATTTTGTCAGTAGTAGCGAACTTATATTTAATTATATTTTAAAAGCATTTAAAACAGTTTAAAATTATTAAAACATTTATTCTACTTAATTACTAAACAATATATTTTAATACTTAATAAGATTTTAAACACCAAATTACAGTACATATACAGTACATACAGATTCTGTAAATTTTGGAATCACATGAAACTAAAATTTTGTGATTGAATTGTTTTTTGTTCAAATCTGATGATAGCATCAATGCTATCAGTGCTCGTTATTTAAGATATCTTTCGCTTAGGTTTTGACAGAAAAGCTTTTAAAAATAAATTTAGTTTTATAAATAAAAAAGAGAATCCATTTAAACACATAAATTCGTAAATATATTACATTTTTGTCACTTTTAAACTTTTAAAAGCATTGAATTCCTTGGACTGCAAGTGAGAATGAATTACAAAACCCATATAACGTCAGATAAAATTGTTAATATTTATAGAATATTCTGTTTATCCTTATATAGTGTATTTACTGTTAATCATATTAAGCATGAATAGTAGCATAAAGTCATACCTGAGCTCTTTATATGTAAATTTTGTATAAATTTTGTATAAATTAATTCTATTATTCTTTTGTTTTAGAAAATAAATTAGTTTTCATTAACTTTAATACAATTTAAATTTTAGAAAATAATATTTGTTTATTGATTTATTTTTAAAAAAATGTATAATCCGTTTAAATAGCATATTGTTCATGCTGTAAATGAGAAAATCTAGTTATTTATTCAATAGCATAGTTTCAAAGTAAGAATATTTACTCTCGACTCCATTCTGGGAGAAGAAAACATGAAAAAGTAGGTCATTCCCAGAATTTCGCAGACTCTATGCTGGGCTCGCATTATGTTTTCAATTAGATTACTAGACTGTTTCGTACATTACATTACAACACAATATAATACAATACATGATTGTTTAGTTTTTTTTTTTGAAATTCTTGTCGTTATTCATCACAATTTTACAATGATTTATTGTGATTAAAAAATCTTATTCAATACAATTCTTTATAATTTTTAAAACTTATATTATATTGAAATTAAAGAAAGTGAAATCTTTGAAGAAAGAAATTTCATTAAATGGTTGAAACTTTGACTTTAATGTGATCATTTAATTAAATTATGTTTACTCAAGACATTTGCCGTTTAATCTATGAACAGAATATTAGGCACCTTTAAGTTAGTATTAGCCTAATACTATTAGGTATTGTAATAAATGTTTTGCTTTATTATTATTTATTACACAGAATTTCCAACTGAGATAATATTGTCTCAAATAATGAATCCCTGATTTTAATATTGGCTTTACTTTTAATTAATTCCTATCTATCAATAATTAATCCTGTAATCTATATTATGTAAACAATTGTATTAACAATTACAGCAATACTGTATTACACACGTAAAAGTAATTATTTAATTATATTGGATTTGTACCATTATTTGTCAATATATTTGAATTGAATAATTTGATGAGTGTCAAACATTTTACAGCAAATTATTTTATAAAATGACTGATTAATCATTAATTTTTACTTCAATATAGGATATGGTTTGAAAGAGCCGTACAAATACTCAACACTACAACAGTTTGTATTGCATTACGCAAAGCAGTCGCTCTCGGAATTCAATTGTTTTTTTTTGATATCCTTTTGTAAAAGTGATTTCATATCCTAAAGGAAACCAAAATATTGTTCCCTTTCATCAGAATATATGCTCAAAACAAATCAATATTAGTTGTTATAATCAATCGTTTGAAGTGTTTTTACGATAAAAAGAAAATTCTTGGATAAAGAAAGTATGGGTCAAAGCGGCTCTTCTAATAGGAGAACCCTTTTTGGCAATGATTTTGAGAAATTGAAAGAGGAGTCCGATTACGTAACGTTGGTTCGTGTGATTCCCAAACAAACCAATGATTTAAGTGGTAATCCAAACATTCAGATTAATAACAACAATGTAAGTGTTGAGCGACGCGTTCGTCGGCCCATCGCTACCCTCCCGAACCCGATTCGGCCGAAGACCACAATAGAGCCTAACGTTTACTGCGATTTAAAAGATTATTTGCGACCGAAATCTAATTTGATTGCAAACGAAGAGCTCAATGATTGCAATCCAGACGAGAATCTGTTGGGAATCTTCACTACAAACACGATCTCACGGCCAGTGAGTTATGCGAACCACTGTTCGGTGCGATGTGTTTGCAGTGACTGTCGTCTAACGCGATATCATTTGCTAAACTGGTTATTACCGAACTGTACGCGAACTAACGCCGAGCGACTCCTTATGGCCAGACCTGACGGCACTTTCTTAGTTCGGTAAGCATTCGCTCACTTTATTCATCAAAACGTTTTTCGATTGCATGAAAACATTCTGTGTTTAGGAAAAGCGAGAAATTTCCCAATCAATACACGCTGTCATTTGTATGCGGGACAGCCATCAGACACTGTCTAATACTGCGCTCAGTTTACGGTCAGTTTGTTATTTATAAGACACGTTTACTTTCAATTCAAGCCATTAATTATTTAAAAGGCTTTACTAATGATAACAAATTCCTGTTGAGCGAAGAATCTCTCAAATATTCTGTATTTCATTTCAAACTACATTTTTAAGACAACAATTTCCACTTGTATTTTATCATAATTTGATTTGTTTTATTTATTCTTAAATTTATGTTGTCAGTAGTAGTGAACTTATATTTAATTATATTTTAAAAGCATTTAAAACAGTTTAAAATTATTAAAACATTTATTCTACTTAATTACTAAACAATATATTTTAATACTTAATAAGATTTTAAACACAAAATTACAGTACATATACAGTACATACAGATTCTGTAGATTTTGGAATCACATGAAACTAAAATTTGGTGATTGAATTGGTTTTTGTTCAAATCTGATGATAGCATCAAATGGATAACACAATGCTATCAGTGCTCGTTATTTAAGATATCTTTCGCTTAGGTTTTGACAGAAAAGCTTTTAAAAATAAATTTAGTTTTATAAATAAAAAGAGAATCCATTTAAACACATAAATTCGTAAATATATTACATTTTTGTCCCTTTTAAACTTTTAAAAGCATTGAATTCCTTGGACTGCAAGTGAGAATGAATTACAAAACCCATATAACGTCAGATAAAATTGTTAATATTTATAGAATATTCTGTTTATCCTTATATAGTGTATATACTGTTAATCATATTAAGCATAAATAGTAGCATAAAGTTATACCTGAGCTCTTTATATGTAAATTTTGTATAAATTTTGTATAAATTAATTCTATTATTATTTTGTTTTAGAAAATAAATTAGTTTTCATTAACTTTAATACAATTTAAATTTTAGAAAATAATATTTGTTTATTGATTTATTTAAAAAAAATAAAATGTATAATCCGTTTAAATAGCATATTGTTCATGCTGTAAATGAGAAAATCTAGTTATTTATTCAATAGCATAGTTTCAAAGTAATAATATTTACTCTCGACTCCATTCTGGCAGAAGAAAACATGAAAAAGTAGGTCATTCCCAGAATTTCGCAGACTCTATGCTGGGCTCGCATTATGTTTTCAATTAGATTACTAGACTGTTTCGTACATTACTTTACAATACATTACAACACAATACAATACATGATTGTTTAGTTTTTTTGAAATTCTTGTCGTTATTCATCACAATTGTACAACGATTTATTGTGATTAAAAAATCTTATTCAATACAATTCTTTATAATTTTTAAAACTTATATATTATATTGAAATTAAAGAAAGTGAAATCTTTGAAGAAAGAAATTTAATTGAATGGTTGAAACTTTGACTTTAATGTGACCATTTAATTTAATTATGTTTACTCAAGACATTTGCCGTTTAATCTATGAACAGAATATTAGGCACCTTTAAGTTAGTATTAGCCTAATACTATTAGGTATTGTAATAAATGTTTTGCTTTATTATTATTTATTAAACAGAATTTCCAACTGAGATAATATTGTCTCAAATAACGAATCCCTGATTTTAATATTGGCTTTATTTTTAATTAATTCCTATCTATAAATAATTAATCCTGTAATCTATATTATGTAAACAATTGTATTAACAATTACAGCAATACTGTATTACACACGTAAAAGTAATTATTTAATTATATTGGATATGTACCATTATTTGTCAATATATTTGAATTGAATAATTTGATGATTGTCAAACATTTTACAGCAAATTATTTTACAAAATGACTGATTAATCATTAATTTTTACTTCAATATAGGATATGGTTTGAAAGAGCCGTACAAATACTCAACACTACAACAGTTTGTATTGCATTACGCAAAGCAGTCGCTCTCGGAATTCAATTGGAAATTAAACACTACTTTAAAACATCCAGTTTTCGCTTGAAATTCAAACAACATTCAGATTATGGAAAAAATTAATGAATTCCGGATTTGAGTCAACAGTTAAAGGAAATAATTTTTTTCGATTTAAATCATATTTTGCAAAAATTATTAATTTTTAAATGAAATATTTTGACATACAGTATAAACGAAGATTTAATACTCACTCAATTATTTACAAAATAATATTTGTTTTTGTTTCATAGAGTATTTTTTGTATATTAATATTATACAGAATATATGGTATAATCTTTTTCTACTAATCAATAATCTATATGTTATTTGCAATAAAAGATTGTTTATAAGATATCTATTAAATATTGAAAACAAGTCATAGAATTTGGAAAAATTCATTTAAAAATAAATCATAATTTAAACAATTTTATTATTAATAAATTATTAATGTAGCGTTTGATCTCTCTCTCTCTCTCTCTCTCTCTCTCTCTGCACAGCATCTCATGAATAGTAGCATAAAGTCATACCTGAGCTCTTTATATGTAAATTTTGTATAAATTTTGTATAAATTAATTCTATTATTCTTTTGTTTNTCTCTCTCTCTCTCTCTCTCTCTCTCTCTCTCTCTCTCTCTCTCTCCATTCATTCATTCATTTACTCTCTGACGTAAACATTCGATAAATTATTTAATAAATTGAGTAAAAATAATAAAGATCGGTTGTTTAACAAGTTATATAACACAAATCAAATTTATAATGATAAAAGCAAATACTGTATATGACAAGTGCTGACATTGACTTTCAAACTTTATTCACTTATATTTTACTCATTAATACATTTACTATTTTATTGAATGTTTAAATCCATTCATTGAAAAGACAGCCAAAAATGTAAACTCATATAAAGATACAAATAATCTGCATTTTGAAGGACACAACGTATGTCACAAATGGTTAGCTTTAAATTGAATTTAGACTTTATTGAGACAACAGGCATAGCATTCGCATCAGACGTTTGATTATGTGAATAATAAGTGGGAAATTGCTTTTTGTTATAAATTGGTAATTAAATTCAACTGTTCACTCGATATGGGATGTATCGGATCCACTCTTTTGGAAGCAAAACACCGATTGGCGGTGAAGAGAGCGAAACGGGATTTTCAAATACCAGACATTGTGATCGAGGAATATATTCCTCATATATCTGTTGATAAGCTGACAAAATCTAATAATGAAGACTATATATGGCTGACAGAGACGACACAATTGCCGGGCGAATGGTTTGTCCACAACTGCAACAGCTCTGAAGCCGACTATTTTCTGCGCGACAAAGAAGACGGAACTTTCTTAGTCCGCGAAAGTACTCGATATAATGGACAATACGTTTTGGCCGTTTCTCTCAATTATTTTGTTCATCAATTGCTTATTCACAAGAGTGAGGATGGCTTTGGTCTCATTGATCCGGGAGTCCACCCGACACTATCCAGTCTTATCACTCATTACAGTCAAGTGTCGCTAAAGTGTAAGAATCCGCTTCTCGACGTTAAACTAGATAAAGGCGTCTTTCAATCCGATTAAACAACAAATCAATTCAAAACAATTGCTTTAAATTAAGAGTTTAATGGAAAATAACTGTTGCTTTTAATATTTTATTTAATGATTAAATAGGAGAGATATTTGCGATTCAATACATATATAGTTTTCATATTTTCTATTTTACTGTAATAGTTGTGTTAAAAATTGATCTCACATTTGGATATCAATACTATTTAATGATTTTCTCTGATATTTTGTTAACTTTGCATAAAATCTAATCAAAAATATTATTTAATTTAAAATAAAACATATTTATTGATAAAAATTGAAATACTGTTGAAAATGAGATCAATTTATGAATAACCGAAACGATTAATAGTGGTTCGGATCCAAGGGGTGAATGAGCTAACTCTGGTGTAAACGTTGGGCAGTCGCTCGTCAAGACATCGCGACGAACCAAATGATACGAGACCTACGATAACACCTTTTTGAACCAGAGGTCCTCCAGAATCACCCTATCATCAAAATCATGACATCAATGGCAATAATAATAACGTCTAATTAATTATACATACATTACAAGCACTTCTAACTCGATCAAAAGCGCAGATCATATCATTGGTTATGGACACCGATGTACTCCATATATTAGAACACGTGCGCCGATTAACGACTGTCAGATTCGCCACTTTTAACGCATTGGACACACCATTGCTGGCCGAAGAAGTGCGACCCCATCCCGAGACAGTGACCACTGAGTTGGGTCGCGGATCGTATGATTGCAAGANCAGATTCGCCACTTTTAACGCATTGGACACACCATTGCTGGCCGAAGAAGTGCGACCCCATCCCGAGACAGTGACCACTGAGTTGGGTCGCGGATCGTATGATTGCAAGACATCCATCATCTTTGCGTTATAGCCAGCAGTCATTGGCGACGATAATGTGAGAACTGCGATGTCATTAGTGATGGTTCTTGGGTTATAATTTGGGTGAGGAATCGCATACTTCACATCAATAGTCGGACCAGAATTATACTGCAGAGTATTGTATCGAACTTTAAATTCTGTGTTACCGGCGCTGTCAGTGGTTAGAAAAAAGTTTTCATTAATAGTTTGAAATATAAATCAAGTTTAATAACAAAATAAGAAAATGACGGACCCATAGATACAATGGGCAGCAGTCAGTATAGCTCTGGAATCCACTATAACTCCACCGCAAATGAATTTATTGTTGGCCAGAAGTGCCACCTGATAGGCACACTCTCCCAGAAACGCTTCCCGACCGCCGATAACTCTCTCGTCTTTTATTTCTTCATCCCTTTCATTGAGAGAAGGAATCAATTCATTAGTCGTTGAATTAGCTCCCAATGAATGAATTGTCAAACATATGATAATAAAACTGATTCTTAAGAATCCCATTATATGTGTTTAAAACTTAGATAACGTTACGCTCAGAGACAGACAAATTAAAATATAAAACATACAATAATACAAGAATTGATTTTTATTCAGAATTCATTAAATAACGTGAAATTTTGTCACGATTTGTGACATATGGATCACAGACGAGATTATTTCCAAAGTGTGTCCTATTTTTGTATTAAATCAATCAAACGATTGGCAATTTTACGATAATTGCGATCAAATCGTGATATAAATGTCTGTCAGACACAAGAAGATACACAATAATTATCTGTGTCAATATTTCTGTGTTTCGAAACATGATTGTTTTTAAAAACTTTATTTATTAAAACATTAATAAAAAGATTGTATAAAATGATAAAAAAAAGGTTTTATAAAGATATAGTAAAGCAATACAAATTTTAATTGTATTTTAAAATCACAGATGAATGCCAGGAATCAGTAAATAGGTGTCCAACAGATTGTTGTGAATATTAAGCGATTCAATGTCTTTGTAATGATTGACTAATTCTTCCAATGAATTAAATATACGATTAGATGTAAACCCATAGCCAGTGCCGTATTTATTGATCAAACAGTGATAGATGTTTTGTTTAAATGCTATCGATAGGGCGTAACAACCGTTTTGGATAAATAAACTACTTTGGCGAATAATAAATGTGCCGTTTTTAGCCGATTCAAGCAAAATGTGAGCATTATTTCGGTCGCAATCGTTTGAAAACCACATAGACTTATGCCATACAATATAATCATCTCTCAATCGATTTATTGCTGTCCTTTTTATCCCTTCCTTCGGTCTCTTATATGTCCTAAAGTTTTTCCCTTTTATTATCACAATCGGAGAAATGTGTTGAAAATTGTTATTTCGCTGACACTTGACTGACATTTCAGATTCGTTTGCATTTTCGGTCGACAACTCATTTATATATAATATATTTGATTTCAATTGAGAATTCATTTTTGAAAATGAAATTAATTACAAACATTATTAATCATTAATTAAATACACTTTAATATTGCTTTTCAATACATAAATAATTGCAAATAAATTACAAAACTTTTCCATACATTACTTGTTTGTTAAATATTGAACTAATCTTGAGTTTTATAAAGATATTCAATCGCTTTGAGTCTATAGGAAAACTACACCAAACCTTTTGACTACAGTACAGGTATATCCAAGTTTATAATTCAACTTTTAAAACTATTAAAAAGTTTACCAATATTGGTGTTAACAAAAAAATTAATTATAAAATTAAAAATAAAAAAATTACAAAAAAAAATCTTATATTTGGTATAAAATTAATTAAATACTAATTTAGTAAGTGAAAGAAATGTATTATCAGTGATTTATATAGAGAATATAGTCGTGATTATCAATGATTGAAATCTATTAAATGATTATTAAAGAGTATTTGGGCACACATTTCACTCAATGACCACTTTGTGTCCCTATAAGTGACTCAATTGCTATCAACGATATCGAAGTTTGAGCCCGTTTTTAAAGAGGGCCGACAATACTTGGGCGATTATTCTTAATGGTGGCCCATGTGTGTCTTGTCATCTAATTTAGCTATTTATTTAAGTGGATACAAAACTATGGTTAATTGTCACCACCGATCACCGCTTCGATCACCAAGGGCGATAAAGTTCAGTTTAAAGAATCGCGATATCTTGTAGACAATTTAAACGCTATTTCAATGCGCATATTCTACAAACAATTGACGTAATTTGTACTGCCATTGATTGACTCACGTGTTTGTGTTTACATAATTATTATAGCGTTTGAGAGAGTGTTGTGTTTAACGCAAAACTCAACGATTGTTTCGTTGCTTTTCATTATAATTAACATTAAATTCAATTGTATTTTGCAATGAATTTCATGAGAAATAGTTTAACGCAATGTCTGTTAAAACCAGACTTAAGTTCAGTGAAGATATTTGTCCGCCATTTCCAGAGAAGACAATTCATCCGCCGATTTGGTTACGTCCAGAAGACTCACAATAAAGGTATGCATTTGTATTGTATATTAAGGTTCACTATAACGAGTGGTTCACTATTAACAGGACTATTACCGCGAGTGGTTGGAGATGTGGCCCCTTTGCGAACGGTTCCCAATACACGACTTGCCGATGAATGGCGACCAAAGGCAGCCCTCTTCGGCCAAAACGATTACATCGATATCTTAGGCGATGGAAGCGTTCCGGTGACAGATCTCATGACAAACACTCCCTATTGGCTGAAAGGATTCAAAGGCAACG